GCGTCATCACAGCAAGTGTGCAGATTTTTCTCGTTCAGTTTGAAAGTGCCTCTTTTTTGAGATTCTGGCAAAAAACGACAATACAAAATTTCCAAAAATTGTCTATGGCCTAGATGGAAGCTTAATTTCTAGGTAAACCGGGAGCGTAGCTTCAGAATTAGATGTCATTATAGTGCTAGGATTCACGGAAGGTCTCGGGCGACTGGTTTTATGTCGTCAAGTAGATTGACTCAGTACTTATGACGCAATAATATACAACGCCCACGGATTGACAAACCGACATAAATGAGAAACAAGGACTTGTCGAGGATTTTAAAAGGTGGCGGAAACGAAATTGCCAGAACACGGTGACTCGATTTCACCTTTTAGCCATCAATCTACTTGATTTTTCAATATTTTTTCAAATTTCAATGCATTCCCTTCCTTTTTCTCAACGAACTAATTCTTCGTCACATGGAAATGAAAATGTCGTTCCAACCCAATCAAGACAATATACAGGGTTTGTCCGGAAAGTACTAGGACTCATTTTCTTCCGAGAAAATTTGAGCATGTGTGAAAGTGACCCCCAATCTTTGAATAACGTAATCACAAGTGACGAGTCGTGGATCTTTGAGTATGATCCCGAGACAAAGAGGCAATCTTCCGAGTGGCACACGACGGCGTCTCCTCGCCCAAAAAAGGGAAGAATGAGCAAATCCAAAGTGAAAACGATGCTCATTGTCATTTTTGACATCAAAGGCATCGTCCACCGTGAATTTGTTCCTCCTGGACAAACCGTCGACGCCAAGTTTTACGTGGAAGTGCTCAGGAGACTCAAACGAAGGGTCAGTCGGGTCCGACAAGACATCGCAGCCGACTGGATGTTGCACCACGACAACGCCCCGGCTCACATCGCCTTTCTTGTGAACAGCCACCTGACCAAGGTAGGCATCTACAGTATATTCAGATAAGAGATAGACCGGACATAAACAAGACCACGTGATCATCGAACGCTGTAACATTCGGCAGGGACGTATTAAGAGTCACGCAGTACATATTTTAGATAGTATATGCTGCTTTGCGTAACTTTGTAGTAAATTAGCACAATTCGATGTGTATACGATTGGTGATGGATATAGGATCATGTGGGGGTGGGGTAAGAAATATATAATGATGTAAATATACATAAGGGTTTCAAAATTTTCGCTTCGATTTCCAGCTTCGGATGCCGCCTGATGTTTGGTGAAATACAGTCGAATATAATCTCAAAATGGCGTTTAAATTAGCCTAAATTAAAATAATCGTATATCTCTTAAAATTGCTTTTAGAATATTCATTAGTATATTTTTTGATTTCTAGGTAAATATGTAACCAAATTAAAACGTTCAAAACGTAAAAAAATGTGCATGGTTGAACATTGTCAGAAAGTAGATTCTTGAATAGGTTTTGCCAAAATGGGTTCAAAAATGTCAATAATTAATTAAAAAATACAGTAGCTTTATAATTACTTATAACTTACCGAATTTGATGAACGACATCTTTTATTGGAAAGATGAGCTTGATGAGCTTTCATCATCGCTACTGCCTGAAGCACCAACGTCAATAATGAATGGCTCGACTTGTTCCTCTAAAATATTGTCCAGTCCCCACATTGTCTTTTCAACTTTGTCTTTCACGTGCTTAATACAGTTTTCCCATTTTTGCGCTGTTATTAATTCTAGTGCTTCTTTGAAAAGTCCTTTGAGGTCACAAAATTTAAAAGTAGTATTGTGCTTAGCTATATAATTTTTAACCTCTGCCCATATGAGCTCAATGGGATTGAGCTCGCAATGGTATGGAGGTAAACGGAGCACAGTTTTATTTTGATTTGCTGCCATTTCGTCAATGGCGTATTTTTGATATTCCGCCTTGTGATCCTTGACAATTCTTAATAATTGTGCTTTCAGCATTGCTTGATCAAAGTTGATATTTTTCGAGCGGAGCCAATTTTGAACATCAACTTTCCTTGAAGCCGTTGCTGGGGCCTTCTCCATTCTTCGAGAATGATAAGGCGCATTATCCAACACAATTACTGCGTTTTCCTCTAAGTTCGGTAAAATTTTTGAAAACCACTGTTCAAACGATTCGCCATTCATTTCCTCGTGGTAATCTCCAGTTTTCTTAGACTCAAAGCACCACAGACCGTCAACAACAAATCCATCCTCAATGCCAATATGGCAGATAATGAGCCTTTTCCCTTTACCTGGAAATCGAAGTACTAACTGGTGTAGATTTATTTCAATAAGCGAACCTTTTTCAAATGTTTTCATCACATTCAGCGAAAAAACATTGAGACATGAGTATCAGATTGCTATAATTGGGATTATTTAGTCATATTGAAAGAAATAATATTGAACGTCGTATGATTACTCAGCGCTTCACAATTTAATTTAAAGTTATAAAAATGAATGATCAGGAACCTGCAATACGCGCAAATATTAATATTAACAAATTATAACTTTATAAAGCTTAAAGTATGAATTAAAATGATTAGAAATATTAGGAACGGTACACAATATAAAACTTAGTAACTTTTTTTAAGTTTATAATATTCGACATATTTTAAGATTATATTAAAAAATTATTGAAATATCGAAAACACATAAAAACATGGCTTAAAAAAGTTCTAACAAATGAAAATGACAATAAAACATCCACGCATTTTATCGAAAGTTATAAAAGTTTTGTTACTTGTAATATGTTTTATCTGCCCCCTGGAATTAATGTTTAGAACCTTGTTCCCAAGGTTTGAAAAACATCCGATTGTTGTCTATTACTCGTATTTACCTGCTGGATTTTTTAATCCGGTGGACAGTCCATCTAGAAAGGCTCTCCTGGATGAAGTTACAGAATCATCAACCCATACTTTACTTGTAGTGTGTCCTGCGTTTACCCACGTTTCATCAAGGTAATAAATCTTCCTGTTTTGATTTCTATATTTCCCAATTTTTGTTAAATAATCCCTCCTCCATAGCACAATTTCTTTTCTATCCAGTAGTAAACTATTACGACCCCGTTTTTTCCATTTGAAATTTAAATGCTTCAGTAACGCATGGAAAGTTGATCGTTTGAAATTTGGCAACGTTGTATCTCCATTTACCTCCTGCAGTACTTTATCTATAGTAGGTATTTCATTCCTAAAGAAGAATTCATGCACTTTCCTCCTAATCGCATGCTTATCAGCTTCATCCAATGATTTAACAATACTTTTGCGATGTTTACTGGTCATTGGCTCAGAAAAGGTGTGATTTTTTTTGTATTGTCTTAACACATTAAACACTGGCGCGACACACCCCAACTTTGTGAGAAACCTTCACAACAATTTCTTTGATAGTTGATGCCTCGTTCTCCTCGCGCTCGATCTTATATATATTCAAAGTGACCTCTTTCATTTCTGCACTCAGGTGTCTTTTTTTAGAGCGTTTCCTAGGTGGACTACAGGAGTTTACAACTTCATCGGCAGTATCTGTACTACTGGGCATTTTGCGCAAGCAGTTGATAACAATAACAATCAATAACAAGGTATAACAATAACAACGACAAACTCAACAACTTAATAAGATAACAAACGAAAACGTCCAAAGAAATATCAAATTGCAATGATGCACACGACATACGTAACACGTCTGAACCTGAATGTGACTCTGCCTTGATACGACTGCTCTGCCGCTCGGCATAGGCATTTAATTGCGAATTGACCAATGAGGGCTAATGTTTTACGTCGAGATGGCGGCGTTAGCGTGAAAATCACCCGAACCTTTTGTTTACATCCGGTCTATCACTTATCTGAATATACTGTAAACGCCCAACGCTTCCGCAGCCGCCCTACAGCCCAGATGTGCCCCCCGGACTTTTTTTTGTTTCCTCGATTGAAAAGGCCGATGAAAGGCAAGCATTTTGAGTCGACAGAGGGGAACCAAGCAGCATGCACCGCGGCTCTCAAGGCTATTCCGGAGAATGCCTTCGGTGACGCCTTCAATGCTTGGAAATCGCGCTGGCAGCGCTGCATCGACGCAGAACGAGCCTATTTTGAAAGTTTTTAAAGAATTGTAACGATTTGCTCAATAAATTTTTTTAAATCGACTCAGTCCTATTACTTTCCGGACAAACCATGTACGTTCAAAGAACGTCCGTGTGCCAGAGAGTTGAGCATTATTTGGCGATGTCAGATCCGCACGCCGAAGAGTGGAAGTGCGTTTGAAATATGTCCGACACAAACGCCCGTTATGGATACGATGGACTTCTATACACAGTCACCCCCAACTTCCTCGCACTTCTCGTACATCGCCCCTTCAATAAAATATAAACGCAACATACAAAATCGGGTTCGATTATCAAACGCAGGCTGGCATGACTACCGGAATGGCCGTTACACGAGGGATGTCTTTTAAGTTTTGCATATGGAAATAAAACGACACGGTAGGTAGTTTTAAATGACTTTATTGTTTTTCGAAGCATTCTCCACGAAGATTAATATACATCTGTATGCGCTCGAACCAATTTTCGAAGCACTTATTCCAGTCGTTTGCTGGCATTTTTGAATGCGTCAACTGCTTCTTCTGGTGACTGGAACCACATCCGACGTCAACTACGAGCCGTGATGAAAGAAAGGCAACACCGCGCTCGGACGGCATGGTAGTGCTACCTGTGAACGTCGGCGGCCAGCGGCTGTGTGCTCCGTCTCCGTGTAACTAAATTTAATTTTGGAAAAAAGGACAGTTCGATTCGATACAAATCGTCTAAATATGAAATAGCTCTAATGGTACCCATTCACGTACAGGCGGACTGCAGTCCCGAACTGTGAACGATCTGGCCGTCAGTCCAAATTTCAGCATACACGTACAGGTGGCCGGCAGGTCTGTGCCTGCAGTTTACAAAGATTGCACAAAGTGTGTACGTGTGTGGTGGTTAATCGTCAGTCCGGGTCGTACGATAGCGACTTTCATTGTATTTAAAAATTGTGTACACAGTTTTGGTAAAAAATGTCTGATGTGACGTTAAATCAGCCATCGTTTGTTACTGGTTTTATTGATATTTATCGACAGTTACCAAGTTTATGGAATATTAAGTCAAAACAGTATTCAAATCGAAAAGAAAAGGCAAAGGCGTATGAGAAACTTATAAGTTATTGCAAAACCGTAGACAAAAATGCTTCGATGGATATGGTAAAAAAGAAAATTAATAATATTAGAAGTGCCTTTCGAAAGGAGCACAAAAAAGTTCTAAAATCAAAAAGAAGTGGATCATCTACAGAAGAGCTGTATGAGCCAACTCTTTGGTATTATAAATTACTGCTTTTTACGGCTTCGCAGGAAGAACCTAGGATGTCAGTTTCAAATGATGATGAGTCGGAGTCGGAGGGTGACGATGCCAATAATGAGGTAAGGAAATTTTTTGCAAATAAAAAAATCAAATAAAATCTTTTTATTTCTTGTCTAAAATAAATTCTTTAATTCTACAAAATTATCAAGTAAGATACATATTATAATAGGTACATTGATTAAATAAAATTTTCTTGCCAGGAAACTTTTCCAACAGTATTAAAGAAATTTTTATAATTCACTCTATTTTCTTTGGCTTCACGTGAAGCATTACGACCATATCCTGGTTGTAAATTATCTAATGGTCTTTCTGCTCTCCAGTCTCCCCTTATTATATCCCCTGTGTCAATAATTTCGGTGTCAACATCATTTCTCGTTATATATGAAGTTTTAGAACGTCTCAAAAAATTATGCAACGCGCAAGCTGCTAGTACAATTTTGTCAATTTTGTCAGGTTGCATATTAATTGGAGTATGGAATACTCGAAAGCGATTAGCTAATATACCGAACGCGTTCTCAACCGTGCGGCGCACACGGCTAAGTCTATAATTGAAAATAGATTCTTCTTTTGTTAAATTGTTTCCCGGGAAAGGTTTTAAAATATTTTCATGTAATGCAAACGCATCATCTGCCACAAAAACGAAATTTAAATTATGCTTTGTTACGTCATTAGAAGGCAAATTTAGCTTTTTTTCTATAAGTTTATCGTAAAATTTTGTATATTCTAAGACCCCTCCATCAGAAACTCGCCCATTACAGCCTACATTAACATATATGAATTCGTAATCAGCATTAACAAGGGCCATGAGAACTATACTGTGATAGTCTTTGTAGTTAAAAAATATGACCCGCTGTTGGCTGGTTTAACAATTCGCAGATGTTTACCATCAATAGATCCTCCACAATTAGGAAAGTTCCATCTGGTTTCAATATTATAAGCTATTTCTTGCCACTCCTCTGATGTTTTTGGAAACTGTAAAAAAATTATAATATACATTTTGTATTTTGTACTTTCAGGAAGATGTCACCCAGCATGATACTCAATTTTCACCGCTTACTGAAGATGCGTTGCAAGCACCGTCTGAAATATATCAGCTATCACCACCACAAACACCGCATCAGTCATCAACCTATTCACGTCCATCAACTTCCAGATCTTCTAATAGTGCAAAAAGAAAGAAGTATGGACAGGAAGAAAGTATCCAAAGGATTTGCGCTAAGTTGGACAGAGAAAATGATGAATGTGACAGTATTGGAGAAATGTGGCCCATAAACTGCGCCGAATGGACAGCGACCAGAAAATGTATGCTGAATTATTACTTCACCGTCTTCTCTTCCTTGGTGTTCAAAAGAAATTATGCGAGGAATCTCATATATGTATAAATTCGGCACATAGCGTTTCATCTCATTATAATACTATGTTGCCAATGCAACTTCAATACAATCAACAGCCACAACCTTTAACTCCTTCTCCTTTCCAACCCATATTAACAAATCAGCAACAACAAACTTTCACTTCTTCGCAACACACATCAACTTACAATCAGCAACAAAATGTCACTCTTTCCCGACCCTCAGCAACTATTTCTGAAACACAGTACACAAATGCAGAAGGAGAAAACCTCGACATAAATATAAACTATATAAGACCTCTTGATAAAACTACCCCTGAAACAATGGAGGAAAGCGGCAACACGTCGAAACTTAAAGGATCTTTAACTGAATTGCTGGTTTTTAATCGATGAATTTACGAAACTTCAATGACTACATACTTAAAGTTTTGTTTTTACTTGTCGACTTGTTCATTATTACCTATTGTCTATGTTTTTGACAATAGAAATCAAAAGTTTATTTAAAATTCGTTTCTATAACACAAGTTGTTCACCTTTAAGTTTTTATGTAAGGATACATTTTTCAATAAAATACGTAGTTGAAATATTATTTTGAAATTTTACTAAAACATAAAAAATTACTTCAAATTACGACAAAAGCGAAAATTTTGGAATGCAAGCATAAAATACATAATTTTTAATAAGAATATTAGCGAGGTATTTAGGTTAAAAAATAAATACCTAGGTACTTTTATAAATGTACGCTTCTAAAAATTTTGGCTTTCAATCTCCTTCAACTATTCCATTTCTTTCTAAAATATTATGCACTGTATTCCAAAATTTTATGAACTTACCTTCATATATTCCTTTTTCAACGCCTTGTAAATCCATTCGCAGGTTTCTGGTATAATTTTTCCTAGTGCTTGGGGAGAAATAATGGCAGAAAATTTCAAATCCTCAAATGTACGTCCAGTTGCCAGATACCGCAAAGTCACTATTAACCTTTCTTCAGCACTAATGGCTTTTCTCATTACTGTATTCTGTCGTTTTATGTGGGGTTTAACTAAAGTTAATAATTTTCTGAAAGAAGCCTCGTCCATCCTAAGATAATTTTTAAAATCTTCGCTGCTGGAATCTTTCAATCGCTTCAGGAGTTTCATATGAGATAAATTTTCACGATCTCTTAACCATTCCTTCACCCAAAAACGTTTGCCATTTTTTCCGCGTTCATTAGTTAATATCAAAATCAAAAGTAACAAAATAAGTTTCTTTTTTCTTAACATTTTACCACTGCTTTATTGTTCTTTTGTCTACACACTACAAGCAAGAACTGCGAAACTTTTGCGACGGACTGTGGATGTATGGCAAATAATGAGGCGACCTGCAGTTCTAGGACTGTCAGGCGATGGCCTGCAGGCCGCATCGTTTGTATACAACTGAACGTGTATGGTCTATATCGCAGGCCACGACTGCAGGTCAAATTTCAGTCCATTGCCTGCAGTCCGCCTGTACGTGAATGGGTACCATAAAAAATTTAAAAATACGAAATAATCGTGATATATATGAGTCGCGAATGCAGTTAACCTAATTAAAAGTATTTAGTTTACGTTTTTTGGTGTCAGCACACTGTGTTCCAACAGGCCCATCTTGGAAATGTGGAGTTACCTGTTTGTTTTTAATACATTTACTTTCAGTTTTACTGTTATTTTTCAATTTTACATAATCATTCAAAATTATGTTTGAAAAAATAGACAAAAGCTTAGATAAAATATCTGCATAATTGCGGCCACAGATGCAAGTTAAAAAAAATTCACTGTATATAAGGTCAGACTGAATGCTGAGCAAGGTTAATTGACACAAAATAAATTTTTGATTATTGCTTTTCAAGATGAAAATTTCCAATCTATCTACATTAATAATAGATTCAAAAATGGCACACATATGGTAGAATATGATTGGTACATAACTGGTTGGAATTGACAGTCCTCCTCTTTGCAAATGATTAAAATAAACATGTGTTGTTAATGAACCTTTTTCTTTAACTATTAGCGATTTGCATATCTCGCAGTTTAGGTTTTTAGAGATAGCGTGTGAAGCATATCCAGATATATGTCTTAGTACTATCCTCAATGTCACAATTGGCTAAGTAATTTGTCTCAAATACTTCATTGAATATATCCAAAACTTCAGGATTTTGTTTGGTATCCAAGAAATCAAAATTTTCTTGACTTTCTAAGCAGTTTTGGAACCTTGTTTTAATTTCTGCTAAAGAAAATGACGATTTCTTTTCATTGAAAATATGCTTCAGCCGTATTTTCTTTTCAGCATTTAAAATTTCATCATATGACACATTGTAATTGCAGCCACATAAAAGTCTATAATTGTCAAATCGTTTTTCTAAATTATCAGTGGTGAATTTTCCAGGCAATACATACTCAATGTCAAATTGATTAAATGAATATTCAATTATATTAAGTAGAGTCGGCGTGCTTTGATATAGAGCTGTATACATTTCTGGTGTCAGGTGTCCATTATTATTCTCTAGATTATGCCATTTTTCTAACCATATCAGGAATTTTTTTAAAAATTGTACTTTATAATCATATTTATTGGTAATAGGCTTACAAAATTCGCTTCGCTTCAATTCTCCTTTTATTACACTTGTATTACTGACAATATCCCACCAATCCCTGATTATTTCCAAAAAGTGTGCAGCATCATTAAACTTTAATTCTTTCATAGCAGCTATTGTTGAGTGATGGAATAAATTATCTACAAAATTTACATTTTGCCTTTCAAATGAATTTGGATGTAATGTTTTATAATTTAATTTATATGCTTTCTTAACTACAGCTTCTTTTTCCAATTGATATACAGCACGACTGTTTTCAAATTTAGCATACTGAATAATATCATTATTGTCAAAATTAGGATATACAAAAGTTTTGTCTAGGTTTTTAAAATTAATCCAATTTTTTCTGATACTCTTGAAAATATGCACAACATCATAAGTTAAATATATGTTCTTATCAGGATTATATGGATTTGCAATAGAATAATTTTCTGATGAATCCTTTGCTAATTTCCTGAACATTGCTCTATTAATTCGGTGATTATCAGTAACAACACAAATAACTTCAAATCCACATTTTTGAATTAAATTTATCTTTGATCTTATCCATATCATCGAAATTTTGGATAGCTTTTTCATGTTTGGGAAAATGGAGGGAACAGCATTTTCTTTCAATTTTGGATATTTCAAAGGTATATTATTTTGGACTGTTCCATCCGCCAAAACTATATTTTCTGTCCTGATGATATCCGATTCTTTAAAATGACGACTGCACACAGCTGAATATTTTGAAGGTGTCCAATTTTTTCTGGGAATTGCCATAAGCCATTTGTTTTTCAGACTTTCGGTACTTGGGAAGCGAAAAGTTGGAACATAGCTTTCTGTTTTCAAAGCAGAATTATAGTTTGCATTGCATAAAGGAACACAGCAACAACGAGGCATATTGTCTGCGTCAAATACTTGATAAATGAAAAAAGGCAAATACAACCTAAATTTGCACGTGTTCAATAGTTGAAATCCTTAGCGTCCTGAGGCGCGAACAGCTACAGTCACACTTCTTAGTTTATTTTTAAAGCACAGAAGCACTACAACTGGAGTCTATTTCTCATATATTATAGTCACCGATCACTTTGAACACATACACACACTTTGAAGCTTAGAAAACAAGCTTATCTCTTAATTACAGCCTCTGAGATTCCAAAATCACAAATTGAAAAGGTTATGTTTTCTCAGCGTTTTGAGCACGAGTTGCGTCGATGCAGCAAGCAGCGGCGGGAGTAACACTACCACCTACGTTGCCAGATTTCTTTGTTCACGGCTCGTAGTTGACGTCGGCTGTGCTGGAACCTTTGACCACGCAGTCTGTTTTTAATTTTCGGGAAAGTAAAGAAATCGTTAGGACTTAGATCGGGACTATACGGAGGATGGTCCAATAATTCGACGTTTTCTTCCGTTAAATACTGCCTTGTTTTTTGCGCTGTGAGCGAGCTTGCATTGTCTTGGTGGAGGATGATTCTTCTTTCGGGGTTGATTTTTCGAAGCTCGGTGATGACTTTTGGCAAACAAATGGTGGTATACCAATTCGCAGTAACAGTTCTTTGCTCATTAAGAGGAATTGTTGCAATATGACCGAGAACGGATGACTTTTGTTGGCTTTCCTCAACTTGGAACACCCAAACAGCCGTCTGTCGTTTATTTCATGTTCTCGGTTGAGTTCCATTTGTCTAATGACTCGGTGACACTTAAAAATTCACTGTAGTGAGAACAGTGCACGTATTGTTGTGAAACTTTGAATTTAAGTTTACTAAAGAGTGAGGTTAACATTCAGTACTGACGTTCGAATATGTTTCGATATGCAAAACTTAAAAGACATCCCTCGTATTGGCTTTGCGCGTGGTTATTTATTTCTTACCTCCAAAACGTCACGTATAGTAGCTTCGCCATTCAGCGGGAAGATTAATCCGTCTTCGAGCATTTCAATTACGCAGCACGAACCTCGAAATCTTCATTATAATTGCAAAAGTACAATACGAAACTAATCTTCGTTTTCCGGATTGATCAGATTAGCGCTAGGAATAAATATTAAAATTAATGCAGATTGATATCTACGCGTTGTTCCAGCTTGCTAAAAAATTGAATAATCTCACGAATGGATTATCATTAATTCGTAAAAATGGAGTTCATCGTGCGTACGCGTAATTGGATTGGGGCTAATTGCTCGAGCAATAATACAGGAGGGCTTCCCCGAATCAACGAAATGGATCTATTGTTGGTTGGTTGGAAACAAATGAATTGTTGATAAAAACGTATTTGAAAATGAATTTTTCTAAAGAAAAGGTGTTTGTCTTGGGCGAATATACTAAGTGACATATAAATCCGAACACCCAGTTTAAATGGTTTTATTTAACCATGAATCGAGTTACGAACGAACAACGCTTGTAAATTATTGAATTTTACTATCAAAATTCATGCTCGGTTAAGAGAGTGCATCGAGCACTGCTTCCAATTTATGGGCAATTTGGTCGGCCTACTGAGGGAGCTATTCGGAAACTTGTGACTAAATTTCGAACCCAGTTTACATTATTGGACATTGAACCACCAACGCGCAGACGTAGAGTGAGGACTGAAGAAAATATTGCGGCTGTATCCGCCAGTATTAGTGATGACTGTGAAATGTCGATTCGCCGCCGTTCGCAGCAATTAGGCCTCTGTTACTCCACTACCTGGAAAATTTTGAGACAGGATTTGGGTGTAAAACCTTATAAGATACAGCTGGTGCAAGAATTGAAGCCACACGACCTCCCACAATGTTTCTCATTTGGTGAATGGGCGCTGGCAAAGTTGGAGGAAGGTCCACATTTTTATCGAAAAATTGTGTTCAGCGACGAAGCTCATTTCTGGTTGAATGGGTACGTTAACAAGCAAAATTGCCGCATCTGGAGTGAACACTAGCCAGAAGCATTGCAAGAGCTCACTGTTTGGTGTGGACTCAAATAAAGATTTAGTCGTTTTTTCAAATTTTTTGTGTTTTTTTTTTGAAAATCAAATTCTATGCCTCTTAAAAAATCACCCGTTAGTAGTAATAATCACAAAGCAAAAGACTCGAACCGGATTCGCGTTTTCTATTCAAAGACGGCGTCGTTCATTTTCACCAGTCTTGCTGACAATTTCCATTTTCCATTTGTAATTACGGCTAGTAGCGATGGTGCGCGCCTGCAGGATCGCGGAAAATTCGGGGTAGAAACAACAGAAGGGAAGGGAGCGGGTGTTTTATGCAGGCGAGTTTTCACTGTTTTCACCGGCGACAAAACATGCATTTGCACTCGACGCCGGTAGGTGTAGGCGTAAGTGGAAAAACGCACGCATATACATTAGCGAGGTATTGTTTTCGTGCTTCAGTAATTCGCGTTTTTCGCGAAAAGCTCGGAAAAATGACATTAATTCATACATCAGAGCATTCAATATGGGAGCGAAGATTTTGAATGGGTGTAGGAGTTATGAAAAAATCTAGTAACGTGTGTCCTAAAAGATTTGGCACATTCATTCCCAAAGTGGTCTATATCGCCCCTTAGTGGTCTATGACAACCTGCAAGGGGTCTACGTCAGCGAAAAAAATTTGGGGGTCCATGAAATGAATATGGGGGTCCACGATAGTGGATCTCAACACATACACTGATAGTACCTATTTACTTACATCATACTATCTTATAATATCAAAACATATACATTATTTATAAAAGTACCTATGAAGTAAAAAATTTATTATATATTTGTGGTCGCAATACATTTTGAACTTGTAAAAACCTTAAAGTCGCAGTCTCAGAGCTTCGCTACCTTGCACTGACTTGTTCAATTCGTCACTCTATAAATACGAATGTGGGAAAAATACGTTTATTCGTTTCCTGAATCTTGATAAGGAAAGTGCTAAGAAAATATTTAAAAAAATATAAACAGATAGTATATCACAAAAATTATAGTGAGTCAGTGTTATTTTGTTTGATAGTGCTGGAGAAAAGTAAGTACATTATTTTTTATTAAATTTTAGTTTTGTACTCGTAGTTAGCAAAGATAGATAAATTACGCCAATCATGACTTTAGTTATTAGTAGTTAAATATTCAATCATGCAAAATTACACGAGTACTCCTCAATAGTTTCTTTTTGAAAGTTTTAGCAATCGGTGATATAATTACAGTAAAATCTCCGTAATTCGAGCTAATTGTTGTAAGAAGATGTTCGAATTATGGAATGTTCGAAAAATCAACAAATATTTTTGATATACAGCTGCTGGATTTTCTGTCTTATTTAAATAATTTAATTTTGCCCACAGATGACTGATGCCATGTCCGAATCTAAAAAGAAATGTAGACAGTACAGTGTTGATTATTTGAAATTTGGCCTCATTCCATCATTGCCGGACAAACAATCGCCTATGTGCCTTTTATGCAACAAGTTTTGGGCAATGACGCTATGAAACCATCTAAACTGCAAGATCATCTGAGAAGATGCCACCCTGAGAAAACAGAGAAAGATTTGAAATACTTTCAAACACTCAAAGATAAATTTCAGAAGAGACCTATACTGGACAGAATGTTCGCTTCGACGTCACAAAGAAATGATGGTTTGCGGGCGTCTTACAATATCTCGTTACTTATAGCAAAATCCGGAAAACCGCATACTATCGGAGAGAAGTTAATTTTGCCAGCCGTTGAAGAGGTTTTAAAAACTGTTTTACACAAACCTGCATCTGATATCATTAAAAGAATTCCCTTAAGCAACAATACTGTTGAAAGATGAAATGAGTTCTGATATTGAAAGCTTCTTATGTAATTATTTGCAAACGACCCATTTCTCTATACAACTGAACGAGTCAACTTTACCTGATAATGCAGCATTATTATTGCCATATGTTCGTTTTATTATGAATCAAGAAATCTACGAAGAACTGCTCTTCGCAAGAACTTTGATTACCGACTCTAAAGGTGAATCAATATTTCATGTTTTGAAGGATTACTTCATTGAAAAAGCAATTCCTTTATCAAATATAATATCAGTAGATACAGATGGAGCACCTGCCATGGTTGGACGTTATCGTGGATTTATAAGCTATTTAAAACAAAATGTGTCAGGGGTGTTAGCAATACATTGCGTCATCCATCGACAAGATTTAGTTGCTAAAAATTTTAGTGTTAGATTGCATGAATCACTTCTTTAGTTATTGATGCAGTAAACCGAATCCGAAGCAACGCGTTGAATACGCGGTTATTTGCGCAGTTGTGTGAAGAAAATGACGAACACTTTCATCAATTACTCCTTCACACTGAAGTACGCTGGCTGTCGAAAAGGCTTGTGTTTGACAAGATTTTTTGCACTTTTTGAGACTATTTTAGAATTTCTGGATACTAAAGATAAAATTTTAAACGAAAATTTAATGAAGAGGAAAACAGACATCGCCTATTTAACAGATTTGTTTACAAAATTTGATATGGTTAATTTGCAATTACAAGGCGACAGTTTAAATTTGATTAAAACAAAGTCCACCTTATCAGCGTTTCTTGCCAGAGTTAAACTAATGAAGCAAAATATTGGACGGGGCGAATTTTCTCAGTTCCCCAATTTGTCACAGACAAGCTGCCAGGAAGACGACGTTTCAACTTACGTTCAACATTTAAATGCCCTCTATTCAGATTTTGAATCTAGGTTGGAGGATATTTTGACTATGGTAATACCACCGTGGATAATTAATCCATATGGTGACACAGAAGAAACGAATGTCACAATACAAGAGGAACTGGCTGAACTAAGTACAAACGAAGAACTCAAGGTTCAGTTTAAAAACGGATATCAGCAATTCTGTCTGCAAAACAACATACCCGTTACTTATCCCGTATTATGGAATATAGCGAGGAAATTTTTAATTTCCTTTCCATCGTCATACCTAGTGGAAAGGGGGTTCAGCGCTAACGAAAAAAGGACTGGACATCATTAACCCTTACAAAATTGACGCCAAATGTTGATAATTTATTATTAAAGCATCAGGTTCATCCTTCTCACTAAAAATATTGACTTATTGCTCATGTTATTTTATTTATAGTTTATTTTATGTTTATTGGTGTCTGACCAATAAATGCCCGCATTGGGAATAAGTGCCCGCATTAATTTATAGAAAATATTTTTTTTTAAATTATTCTGAAAATTCAAGGATAGGTACACACTATAATTCGTTAATTTTTTGCCTATTTTTAGATAACTTAAACGTATAAAAAGCGGAATTTAATCAAATTAACAGTGAAATTATTGTAGAACAGACGTTTATGTTATAATTAATAAACGAACTCGCTTATTGTACTATTTTAGGTAAACAGCTTTTTTTTATTATGTTTCACTTTTTTTTTATTTTATCCCTCTTTTTTCAATGGGAGCACTTATTCCCAATGCGGGCACTTATTGGTCAGACACCTGTTTATTTAATGTTACGTATATTTTACATAACAGATACAAAATTTTATTTTGAGTAGTTTTAATTTAAATTCAATTAATAAATGTATAAATTAACATGTGTTTTTACTTTAAGTTTTTAACACTAAACTTCACTACAGTCAGAAATTTACAGGAAATCAATATCAGGTAAGTAGGGGGTCTACCTAACACGGAAAAACATGGCAAGGGGTCTACGACACAAAAAAGTTTGGGGAACTCTGGTTTGGCACAACCAACTTGTAGATGCTTTTTCTTATTTCTAATTTATATGACATCTTAAAGCAAAAACTTCAAAGTAAATAAATGTCAACTGACAGTAAAACAAGTAAGCAAACTTTTGTTTCCAAACATTTGGAAGCATAAATAAAGAATTGACATTTTACCTTACTTTCTGATCACAGAGTAGCAGGTATCAAAAACGGTTGAAGATTTTTTAATTCTGGGAAGGTCGTATATTGTCGAGACAGTTAGACTTAAGTGTTTCCACAAACACCATAGCCACAAGCCTATAGCTGTCAAACAAGTTCACTGCTTGAAATAATAATAATAATTAACGTCTTTTATTTGTAATATTCTTACAGGAGGCGAGATTTAGATTATATATCTATATATCTATAATGCTCGATACTGATTTGTATTGAATTTGACGTTAAAGTCATCAGTTACTGTAAGCATTGTTATTAATCTTGCCTTTACAACCCCCAACCCACAAGTTTCAACCTCTACAGAAAATTTTCCGAAGACGATTTCTAAAGGCCTCAAACTCAAAACATCTCAAAATACAGGGAGTTTCAGTTTATTGTTGCATAACTTCAAGATTCGATAGAACTTTTAAAATTAATGCATAAAGTCTATATAAACATGGGTCGAAAAATGTGTGGCTTCCGAAATACAGGGTGTTTAAATTTACTTTCTAAAATAGTTTTTTTTAAATATTTCGAACAATATTTGATGTATAATAGTAAAAATTGGTATACAAGGGTTTTTTGGTACGACAAAACGAACCATGGGCATAGTTTTACTGTAGCCGCTAGAGGGCGCTCTCTACTGTACCTGTAGTGTATTAAAATGACCGAAATTTTTTTCTTACTGCAATTTTTTGCTTTTTGAATAAAAAAACTGATTCTTCGCACTTTTCAACATAAAAAAGCTCTCTTGTGAATTTTCGTTATAGTTAGCCGTTTTTGAGATATTTCGATTTCTATGGTTCGATGCATTTTTAATTATTTATGATAAAATAACGTTAAAAAGTCAGTATCTCGATAATTTTTAGAAGTAGGCTGTGCCTGCAAATATTTTTGAAATTGAAAGCAGAATAAGGTTAAACGTCAATTAGTTGACATTTAGTTTTGTTGTCTGTTGAAACCTGAAACGTTTTTTTGCAATTTTAAATGCACGAAATTTAGTTTCTTTTACCTTTTTTTTAAAAATGCCATTTATTCTCCAATCAAGATTTAGCGGATATTCGTTTTGTGTATGGCTTTGTAAATGAAAACGCAGCAGAAGCAGCCAGAGAATACGCACGAAGATTTCCAAACAGACGACATCCAACTCGCTCAGTATTTGTAAGAGTGCATCGCCAAATAATTGAAAATGGTTTTGGAAATCTCCAACGGGATCAAAACATAAATGTTCGTCAGCGCAGATTTACCCGTATGACTCTGCGTGAGTTTGATAGAGATCCGACCACAAGTGTTAGGAGAGTTTCTGGTACCTTGGGAATTTCAGCGAGCCATGTTCACCGTGTTCTTAGAAATGACCATAGACGTCCTTACCATTTGCAACCTGTGCAAGGACTACAGCCAGGGGATGGAGAACGAAGAATCACATTTTGTCAGTGGATTCTTGATAGAACTGATAATAATAGGGAGTTTTTAAGTAACGTTTTATGGACCGATGAGTAATGCTTCACTAGACGTGGAGTGGTAAATTTTCATAATCAACATATTTGGTGGCATGAAAAACCGCATGCAGTTCGGGAAAGAAATTTTCAGCATGAATTTAGTGTGAACGTGTGGATTGGTATCTACCGTAATCGACTATTTGGACCCTACCTTTTGCCTGCAAGGTTAAATGCTGCGACCTTCTTGGAATTTTCAAAAGGCTGAACATGCAAATATGTGGGATGATGTTATATTAGATTTAAGAAGATTGGCCTGGTTCCAGCTTGATGGTTGTCCTGCTCATTATTCGAGAATAGTTAGAAACTGGCTGGACGAAAATTATCCAGAAAGATGGATCGGCCGTGGAGGACCAGTCGCCTGGCCTCCACGATCCCCTGACCTAAATTCATTAGATTTCTTTGTGTGGGGATTTCTAAAAGAAAAAGTGTAGCAGACTCCCATAACCACAAGAGATATGCTAATAGACATAAGGCCTTATTTGAATAATGCTATACCACGTTCGATCATTCGTAGATGTGAATTGTGTATTAAACAATTGGGTTTACATTTCGAGCAACTACTTTAGATTTTGTATGTTTGTCCTAACTATCCAATAGCATTTTGGTTGTAAATAATTAATTTAATTTGTTAAAAATAATATTGGAAAATTAAACAAATTAATATTCTGTTTTTTTGTGTTTATTTGGAGTTAGGAATTATTGCTGTGTTTAAAAACACAATCTAAACGATCATCTTAATTACTTGTAATGCTCAAATCGAAAATGTAAAAAATATCATTTCCCATAAATAACTAAAAATGCATCGAACCTTAAAAATCGAAATATCTCAAAAACGGCTAACTATAACGAAAACTCACAGGGGAGCTTTTTTATGCAGAAAAGCGCGAAGAATAATTTGTTTTATTCAAAAAGCAAAAAATTGCACTAAGAAAAAATGTTTCGGTCATTTTAATACACTACAGGTGCAGTAGGGAGCGCCCTCTATCGGCTACAGTAAAACTATGCCCATGGTTCGTTTTGTCGTACCAAAAAACCCTTGTATACCAATTTTCAGTGTTAGACATCAAATATTGTTCGAAATATTTAAAAAAAACTATTTTAGAAAGTAAATTTAAACACCCTGTATTTCGGAAGCCACGCATTTTTCGACCCATGTTTATATAGACTTTATGCATTACTTTTAAAAGTTCTATCGAATCTTAAAGTTATGCAACAATAAACTGAAACACCCTGTAGATTCTCGCAGGAGAATATTTCGGATAGACAAACTTGCTATTTTTCCAAGATGCGCAAAGTCAAAAGATGATCCATCACGTAATATTCTCGGCGTCACCGAATATAGCACCATCCAGCCGTCTATAAATTACGACTTCAACTTTTGAAGTTTATCAAAAAGCGCAACGTCGCACTAGCCGAGCGTATAAAGATTGGAAACTTTCCCGGGATGCCGTTTGTCATTTATAGTTCGCGGCTCTGCCAAAATCAAATTGGAATCCGTTATATCAGGGCGCTGGTCTTAATGCTCCGGAAAATGCTATCGCTTGTAAATATCCTTCGATGGAATCCTGCCATACCGCCAAGCGGGGGAAATTGATTGTATCAATGTTTACGGACCAATAACACTGATCAAGAGCCAGAAAATATCCTAAATAAAATCAACAAAATATTAATATTTTTAATGTGCTAAAACCGGAATGAAACTTATTTTTTCAATATTAGTTCAAGTTTTAGAGATACTGTAATTATATGTGTTCCTGCTGTGACAGTGTTAATATACTGTAATTCACAAGAATGCACGTGCTACATTTTTATATTCGGCAAGGAAAGATGATGTAATCGGCATGATTGTGTTACGTTATACATACGTGTACATTATATTGTTTTATATTAGCCATTTTTTCCTCAGTTGGCTGACAGCGTTCATGCAAGATGTCTCGAAAGTGTGTAAACAATCCAGATCAGTTTTGTTACGTGTGTGGTGATGTGACTTTTGCGTCTCAGAGACGGTCTATTACTCCACTAACAACAAAGGCATATCAGCTTTATTTCGGTTGTAAACTAGGTGATCAAGACAAACAGTGGGCACCCCACATCTGCTGTAATACATGTGCTTCAAGTCTGAGGAGCTGGTTAAATGGCAAAAAACGGTCTATGCGCTTTGCTGTCCCAATGGTTTGGAGAGAGCCTACAAATCATATTAATGATTGTTACTTTTGCATGGTACCTTGTGTTGGACAAGCCACAGGTATGTCCAAGAAGCAAAAATCGGTTATTAACTACCCAAACATACCATCTGCGATGAGACCTGTGCCTCACAGTGACGAAAATCCTATTCCAAAACCCCCAGAATCCTACACTTGCGAATCAGAAAACGAATCAGATCATGGCGATCGAGTGATTCGTCAGGAAGAAGATATGCCATCAACGTCAAGAGATCCTGATTTTATACCGAGCACGTCATACCACCAACCGCACAAAATAACACAGTCAGAATTAAATGATCTTGTAAGAGATTTAGAACTTCCAAAATGTAAGGCTGAGTTACTTGGATCAAGACTGCAGCAGTGGAACTTGTTAGAAGACGATGTTCCGGTATGTGTTTTTCG